GGGCAAGGAGCTGACTCTTAACCAAGTGCTGTTCGTTCCGGAGATACGCAAAAACCTGATTTCCGGTTCGTTGTTGAACAAGCATGGCTTTCGTATGGTTTTTGAGTCGGACAAATTAGTTTTGTCCAAGTCGGGAATGTATGTGGGCAAGGGGTATGCATGTGATGGGCTGTTTAAGCTCAATGTAATGACTATTATTAAAAATAATAATAAAGTCTCTTCTGCTTACTTGCTTGAGTCTTCCAATGTGTGGCATGGTAGACTAGGACATGTTAATTTTAATTCTATACGTAGATTAATTAACATGGAACACATTCCTAAATTCACAATTGATGTGAAGCACAAATGTGATATTTGTGTTGAGGCAAAACTAACGAAAACGTCTTTCAAATCGGTTGAAAGAAAAACGGAACCACTAGAATTAATTCATAGTGACGTTTGTGATTTTAAATCAATACAAACACGTGGCGGTAATAAATATTTTATTACTTTTATCGATGATAGCACTCGCTATAGCTATGTTTATTTGTTGAAAAATAAACACGAAGCAATCGATAAATTCATTCTTTATAAGAATGAAGTGGAAAACCAACTTAATCGACGGATTAAAACGGTTAGAAGTGATCGAGGTGGTGAGTATGAAGCACCAATTGGTGACTTTTGCGCTAGTGTGGGTATAGTACATGAACGTACCGCACCCTATTCACCTCAATCAAACGGTGTTGCCGAACGAAAGAATTGCACATTGAAAGATATGATGAATGCGATGCTAGTAAGTTCAAGCTTGCCACAAAATATGTGGGGCGAAGCAATCTTGACAAGCAATTACCTTTTAAATAAGGTTCCCCGGAAAAAATATGATAAAACTTCGTACGAGTTGTGGAAAGGCAGACGGCCTTCCTATCAATATTTAAAAGTGTGGGGTGTCTTGCTAAGGTGCTTGTACCAACACCTAAGAAAATAAAAATAGGTCCAAAAACGGTGGATTGTATTTTTATTGGATATGCACAAAATAGTAGTGCTTATCGGTTTTTAGTGTACGACTCGAATAATCCGGATGTACATAAAAACACAATAATTGAGTCAAGGAATGCATCATTCTTTGAAGACGTATTTCCATGCAAGTCCAACGATGGACCTAGCACGTCAAAACGAACGTTTGACGTAGCTATGGAAAATACTAGCGAGGGATCCGGTGAAGAACCTGAACCCCGACATAGCAAACGTGCTAGAGTTGAAAAATCCTTCGGACCGGATTTTCTCACATACTTTATAGAATTCGATTCGAATATTCTAACTTGTATGGTAGAAAATGAACCGGATTTTCTAACATGTTTGGTTGAAAATGAGCCACGGACTTATACGGAAGCCGTAACGTCTACCGAAGGACCAATGTGGAAAGAAGCCATCAAAAGTGAGGTGGATTCTATCCTAAAAAATCACACATGGGAATTGGTTGATCTCACTTCGGGATGTAAACCTTTGGGATCCAAGTGGATTTTTAAATGTAAAATGAAACCGGACGGTTCCATTGATAAGTATAAGGCCAGACTTGTAATCAAGGGATACAAGCAACGCGAGGGCCATGATTACTTTGACACGTATTCTCCTGTGACGAGAATAAACTCCATTAGGATGATACTAGCAATTGCCGCTCTGCAGAATTTGGAAGTTCATCAAATGGACGTAAAAACCGCTTTTCTAAACGGCGATATAGACGAAGAAATCTATATGGAACAACCTGAGGGTTTTCGTGTTCCAGGCCAAGAAAAGAAGGTTTGTAAATTAATTAAATCATTGTACGGATTGAAACAAGCCCCTAAACAGTGGCACGAAAAGTTCGATCATGCAATGTTAATTAATGGGTTTAAAATAAACGAAAGTGACAAATGCGTCTATGTGAAAAGCATGGTAGATGGCTATGTCATTTTATGTTTATACGTGGATGATATACTCATCGTGGGTAGCAATAATCTAATGATTAATTCTACCAAAAACATGTTAAATTCTAAATTTGACATGAAGGATATGGGGCTGGCCGTTTTAATCCTTGGGATTAAAATAATTAGAGGACCTGACGGTCTGACGCTAAGCCAATCCCATTACGTGGATAAAATCCTTACTAAATTTAATAAGGATGATTATCAAGAGGCAAGGACGCCATTAGATAAAAACGTACACCTGACCAAAAATCGTGGAGAGTGTATTTCTCAAGTAGAATACGCTAGGATTATTGGCAGTTTAATGTATCTAATGAGTTGTACCAGGCCTGATATTGCCTTTGTGGTTAGTAAGCTTAGTAGATATACTAGCAACCCCGGTGACGAACACTGGAAGGCAATAGTAAGGGTTTTGAGGTATTTACGAAAAACCCAAAACCTTGGACTGCACTACGGAAGATATCCAGCTGTACTTGAAGGGTATAGCGACGCTAGTTGGATATCTGACATTAAGGACTCAAAGTCCACAAGTGGATACATTTTCACTTTGGGAGGTGCAGCCGTGTCGTGGAAATCCTCGAAACAAACATTGATAGCTAGATCCACGATGGAATCTGAGCTAATAGCCTTGGATAAGTGCACTGAAGAGGCTGAATGGCTACGCCATTTTCTCGAGGATATTCCAAGTTGGGAGAAGCCTGTCCCTCCAATATGCATACATTGCGATTGTCAAGCGGCAATTGGAAGGGCACAGAGCAATCTCTATAATGGTAAGTCTAGACACGTCCGTCGTAGACATAATACCATTAAACAACTTCTCACAACGGGTGTTATCACTGTTGACTACATGAAGTCAAAGGATAACATAGCGGATCCGCTAACCAAGGCATTGGATAGAGAATTGTTGGAGAAGTTGTCACGAGGAATGGGATTAAAGCCCGTGAATTGAAAAGTTCTATAGTGGATACCCAACCTAGTTGGTCCTAGGTTCAAATGGGACAACTAAATTATAGAGTGAAGGATGGTCACTGTGGGGGTCCCGGACTCCTACCCACTCCTCGTTGAAACAGTGACTCCCGCACGAGGTTAGCAAAAACGTTTGCTTTAATGATTCTAAAATTTTGATCTACTCGATAACATTGGAAGAGTATGCGGGATACTCGTGAAAGAATCACCTATGTGAGAGAGAAGAGGGCCGCTTCAAAGGAGAACTGTAATGGCTCAGTTCTTTAGAAACTCTTGCAGAACCAGGACGGTGACCCATGGCCAAAACGGGCACACCCATGAGAACGGAACAAACTTGGAAGGTTCTTGTGTAAAGATAAGTCAATGTTTACACGACGGCAGTATAGTTCAAAGACATCGAGTCTACTAGACAGCCAGTAAATAAACGAGTCTTTACAGCGGAAGGTTCAAAGGATTAAACCTACCTCTCCGTATACAAGGATCATCCGGTGAACACAACGTGTCCTCCTATCTTCGTGTCTTTTTGAAAGTCTCGAAAATCAATTTTCATTCATGTGGGGGATTGTTGGAAAAATGTGTGAAAATTTGCATTAAATGGCTATTTTGGGGCAATTTTTTGAGTGGGTTCAACTTCCGATTTGGGTCGGGTCAAAGTGGTTTCGGATTGTCCTTGTTAAGGGCTACAATTCGATATATGGTACGCTCAAAACGGATAACGGGTGAATGAGAAATCGTTTTTCGAAGTTTACCCGTTAGAAGGGAAAAAGGATGGGTTTCTAGTGTGTTAGTTTCCCACACCGGAAAACCCAAGGGATTTGCTACCCTTTATAAAGGGACTCCCCCCTTATGGAGTTAAGATTCTTAAGGGTAAAGGCTCTCTCCACGCGCGCAGGGGGGGTGCAAATCAAATCCCGAATTCGGAGAAAAAAAAACCGCGACTTGCGTGCGCGGGCGACCTGCGGACACGAATGTCGTCCAAAAATCTATCTCTCAAGAGATACGATTAATTTTTGTTTCTTCCCGAAACGTTTAATTTTTTTCCCAGCGGCAGAAGTGCTCGGACAGAAGCCTACGGATCAGAACACCTCATTGGTGTTCTGATGGCAGAACCCCTCATGGGGTATTCTGATGGCCGCCCATCAGAGATGGGGTATTCTGATGGCCGCCCATCAGAGTTGGAGGTACTCTGATGGCCGCGGATCAGAGTTGGGGTCTTCTGATTGGCCTCCGATCAGAACCCCTCCCGGGGTGTTCTGATGGAAGTCTTCCGTCGCACTTCTGAAACGTTACAACAATTAATGCCCAACGTTCTTATCTTTTAATGCAGCGTTAAATGGACAGTTCATGGACGATTCAATGCCCAACGGACTGGTCATTGATGTCCAACGTTCAGGTCCATTAATTCATCATTTACGCACAACAAATCCTCCTATATAAAGGCTGGCAGGTGGTTTGCAACAACACACGTTCTTACACGAATTCATACACGTTTTAGCTCTAAAAAGACACTGCTAGCTTTCTGAAAATTTCCTGAGTGTTCAGACTTGTTCTCGTTCACTGGAACTTTTGTTTGTGTGCTCAAGCATTAGTTCGTAGTCATCGTATCCTGGGAAACGATTGTTGCAACGCTCCTAGCACCGTGGGAGGCAACAAATACGTTTTAAGGACATCGTGCGTAGCACGAGCTTTGACTAATTCTGCTTCATCTCCTTTCTTGTTTTTCTCTAGTCATTTTATTTAATTAATTTATTTTAATTAATTTTCTTTATTTTCCGAAACACACCCAACATATGGTATGTGAATGTGTTGTTTAATTTCGGGAAAATGACACCAAATGGATCCAGGATATATCCTTTTATGGGGGGTATTGTCTCATTTCCAATCATATAATCATTAATAGAATTTAATTTGTAGTATCCTAGATGATGTTGTGCTCGTCCACAAATTTTCTTTCACTTTAACTTGACATGTACGCTTACTAAGAAAATATAAAAAATACGTATCATTACATTATGAGTGCCTTGGAAGAGGGTGTGCAAATTCCAACCAAACAAACTATTCCTTCAAAAGAAATGAGAATTTATTGTGGAAACTGGGAGAGTAGAACCAATGCTAAAGAATTTACAACTGCAGATGAAAATACACTACAATAATCACGCTTTTACTTGACAAAGGCAAAACCAACATTAATGCCTGAACTGATCAATAACAAGGTGAATTGGTCATATAAATTTATTCATATATAATAATTTATGATTATTCAATATTCATATATCAATAATTTATTATTATCCATATATGTTTTCATGTAAAATATTTACATATGATGGACTGTATTCTTAGTTGTAGATCCGAGAGAACCAGACCTCAGCTAGCTGCTAGCTCCACTGCTCCGGGTTGATTGTAGCATTTCCAAATTAATGATTAGGTGGTACGCCCCTTTAAGATAAAATTGTTTGACATCCACATTAGTCAAAGACATAAATTGTTAAAACTAGTGTAGCAGAGAATAAAATCCGTATTTTTTAAATTCTAAAACGAGATTAATTAAAATATACTAGTATGTACAACTTCAACGCATTATTCCATCCATAGATTGTCAATTTCATACAGACTAATTATGATAATCTTATTTTTCATAAGAAGAGTCATCACTACTCTTCATTCAATTTTTTCATCTAATTAAACTTAAAACCTCTTTCTAATTAAATTTCTGCCTCCTGCAGAAATGTTTACTCTACGTGAAAATCTTGGATAAGCTATGCTGTGTTAAACCAATAGGTCGGTGTAACGATGTTAGTAGAAAGTACGCGAGATGCATCATAATTATAACCTCGTCTTCGATACTAAATGATGGGACATTATAAATATATAGCCAAACACACATTAAAAGTTTGGAAAGGTCAAATAGGTACATCAACTAACTTAAAGTGTTCAATTAGCTCCTTATATAGGAAGTTCTGCCCGGCCGTCGCCAATTGGGGCGGTTCCCGGTGGAATTTTTTGATGAAATTTTTTAAGCATCTTCTTCATTAAGTCTAGTTTATCCCTACCACATTTCAGCTAAAAATTCAACCGGGAAGGCAGTCAAATGATTTTTTGAAGATAACTGCGCAGTTAAACAACACAGTACATTTCGGAAAATCATTTGTCTGCCTTCCCGATTTAATTTTTACCTGAAATTTGATATGAGTAAACTAGACTTAATGAAGAAGATGCTCAAAAAATGTCATCAACAAATTCCACCGGGAACCGCCCCAATTGGCGACGGCCGGGCAGAACCTCCTATATAAGGGGCTAATTGAACACTTTAAGTTAGTTCATATACCTATTTGACCCTTTAGCCTAAAAGTTTCGTATACTTTTCTATTTTGGAATATACTTAAAAGTTTGCTATATTTTCCCTATTTGGTAAGTTTTTCTTTTAAATTACTCAATTACTCTTACTTTTTCTACTTTTTATCTTTTCTTTCCTACTTTTTCACATTCTTTTTTGTTTTTACTTTTTCTACACTATTCATTATCCCCTATTATTCTCCCCTTAAATCTTATGCCAAGACCGGCCTAATGTAGGGATCATTTAAATACATAGGAAGTAGATTATTTAAAAATTTATATAATGTAATAGAATCTTTGGAGTTGCTAAGAATTTCTTTTTATTTACCCTAGGGGTCAGGATCGGAGGCTGGGGGCATGGGGGTAAACAGGGTCGCAGTCACTCGCAACTCTAGCTCTACATGAAGTTTCAAACTTTAGACCTCCTGAAAAAGAGAGTGAGTCGGCAGTCAGCAGACCTCCCAAGGGTTGCTACGAATGTAAATGCACACAAATATACTACTCACTGTAATATATGTGTGTGTATTATGATGTACATTTAAAAGTGTGCCAAGTACCTGTGGTTGTGAATGGGGTTAGATCCATTTGGTACCGGTCTTTTACTCACATAATTGATAGAGTTATGAGTGTGATGACTAACAGAATAATGTTGTCTCATCATCTTCCGAATCATTACGTTATTCGAAGGGGGGTGAGGAGAAATCATCATCGTGTCCTCAGTGTCAGCTTCACTTGACTTGTGATGTTTGTGATGAGCCAAAATCCCTACTAATACAATCAAGAGAAAACAAACAACCACTAGTATTAAAACATTATTATTTGGAAAACTTGGCTTGTTGTCCATCTCTCTATCTCCTTGCCTTTATATAAATACTTTCAGTTTCTTGTTTGGGGGAAAAAATAAGAAGAGAGAAATATGAGAGAGAAGATCTAAGGGAGATATATAAAATGGGTGAGGAAACAAGTAGTTTATAGAATGATTTTGGAGGCGAGAAGTATTAAAGAGAGAAAAGACTACTAGAAAGAAGTGTATAATTTGTTTTAAATTACCTTTACTTGTCATTGCAACTCTTTAATCTTTAAACAAGTATTAATTGTACGGTATTAACTTCTTAAAGATTATGTTAAGTTGAAGGAATGTTAATCAGGAATGGAGTATATGAATATAACATCAAAAGATCACAATTGAAGAATTGAAAAAAAAGTCAAGATAGAGCTCCCTTTTTAGCACTAGAGGATAGAAAGGATTGGGAGTAGACTCCATCCTTTTTCGTACTATGATTTCCAAATATCTTCTTTAAGTTCTTTTGCCAAATGAGAGAGTTTTCAATTCTTTGAATTTCTAACCTCACCAACTCACCAAGGATGAAAAAATCATTATAGATAAATACGAAGTTTATATATCAATAATTTACTTTTATAAAAATATTGGTAAATATACAGATAATCATCTTGTCCAAACGAAAATGTGAAAAATTATTAAATTTATAAAATATATAAATATAAAAATTTTGAGTTCAAATTTACCCCAAACAATATAATTAAATGTACATTTATATGTAATGTATCTATATTTGTCTTAACTTTTACTCCCTCCGTTCTTTATTATCTGTCCCGCTAGCCTTGGGCACGGGTTTTAATAGAAAAATAGTAGGGTAAATGTAGAGTGTGTAGGGTAAATGATAAAGTGGGAAAATGAGTATATTAAAAAGAGTAAAGTAATAATAAAGTGATGATAAAGTAGGAAAGAGAGTATATTAAGTAGAGTAAAGTTATGATAAAGTAGGAAAGAGAAAGTAGTTTGTAAAAAGTAAGAGAGGTAAAAGTAAAAAAAGTGGGGATATTTTATCAAAAACTTTCCTAAAATAGAAAGAGAGACAAATAATAAAAAACGTCCCAAAATGGAATGTGGGACAGATAATAAAGAACGGAGGGAGTATGATTTTGTTTATTTGAAATATGTGTAATATTGATATCAGTTATTTTGAGTAGGTTGAAAAAATAGAACTACTAAAGATATTAGGAAAATTTGAAAATAATAATCCCAACTATGGCTCGTCCGCTGACAATAATCCCAACTATTAATTATTTTGTATAATCTCAACTATATGGACCGTCCACCAATAATGGTCCATGACCCGATATTACCTCTGTGCGTATTTAAACCATGTTAAGGAAATTAGTTTTTCCCTTTAACTTCATGAAGTACCTTTTTTTATCGAAGGTAAATATTTTAGTGTAGAATATACTTTTATACTGTTTCACACTATGTTGCCATTATTAGTAGTAGAGTAAATTAGGGCTGCACATGGGTGTGTTATATATTTTTTAGCCCACCCGCTTGGCTCGGGTTAGCTTCTAAACAACCCACATATATACAATTTGAATGGATACCCCGGGTAGAATCGTGTACAAAAAATATACGTAGTATTACTTCGCGTTTGGTCTTTATTATGCCGCACTAATACAGTCAAGTTTAGGCTCAACCAACCTATTACTCAAATTCACAATTGCATATAAAAAATTGCAAGTCTAAACTGCGTGACAACATCAAATTATCTTTATGTAAAAGAAGTTCCTATATAGAAGCAAATATAATAAATCAATTAGGCAAAATGGTAGTTACTCTATAACTCTACTTTTTAAGTAGAGCATGGCTGAAGTTTGAAATTGAACGTGGACGCCAGGAAACGTCCTTCGCCAGGAAGGTTGAAGTTGAACGTGGACGCTGCTACGAAGGGGGATGGTAGCGGTTTGGGATGGCTCCTTCGTGATGCAGACGGAGCTTTTGTGGCAGGGGTTTCCAAACCCTGGAAAGGTCTTTTGTCTCCCTGGGAAGCGGAATTGGTGGGTATTCGGGAAGCTCTGAGTTGGGTAAAGGCTAATGGTTGGGATTCTATAGAGGTTGAATCGGATGCTTCAAAGGCAATTTCGGAAATTCTTCATGGCTCAAGTGATTCACTGGGCGGGATTTTAGCTGGGGATATTCGAGAGCTCGGGGCTGGTTTTACGGAGATTTTCTTCTCTCATATTAGGCGATCAGCGAACAGGGCGGTTCATGCTTTGGCTCAAGCAGCTTGTTCTATGTCTGATTCTAATTGTTGGTTTTCTTTTCCTCCAAATGATATTTTACATGTACTGAACATCGATGCCATTAATAATAGTTAAGTTTTCCTTTTGCAAAAAAAAAAAAAAAAGTAGAGCATGACTGTCTTAAACAAGAAATAATCTAGTAATTTTTTTTGTAGAAAAATAATAGAAAAATAAAGAAGTACACAGTATTTTTAAGGGTACGTGAAATTTGATGACGATGTTAGGAAGGAGTAGAAAAGGTACCTTTACATTGATCAAGTCGTGTCACACCGGTTTTGAGGCTCCTACTCTCTCAAATCTCAATCATATTCATAATAAGCGGATTTGTAGAAATTTAGCTCATAATTCTTTGTGGATGCCTTGGAGCAATCGAGGTGTTAGGGTTTGGAAGATTTATCAGTTATTTAATTATTTATGGTTTAATTTTTGCGTTAGGTTTTATGTTTTTTTGTTTTTTGTTTGTCTTTAGTTTTAGGCCTACAATTATGATTGACAATTCTGTTAGATATTACTACGTATGTCATTATAAGGATCTATATGGCCAGTAATTGTTGTGTCACACATGTTTAGTGGTTAGCGATTCGTATTGCTCTTTCAGGTGTGATCGTCTCTGAGTCTAGGCGTAGGATTGATAGTGCTAGTTTGTTAGAGATTATTGTTATCATGGTTAGCCTTTTTGAATTTGTTGTAACGATCCGATTCCTAATAATATTTATATAAGTGGTTTGTTTTTATGGTCAAAAAAAATTATTTGTGGATGCCAAATAATCAACTAAAAATGGCTGGGTAAGGTTGGATCAGCCAGATTGTGCACACGAGTTGGGATTACTTTTGTGTAGCCATAAACTAAATTGATAGAAATTTTCATATCAAATAAAGAAGGAAAAAGAGTAAACTCTTTTACTATTTTCAATAATCCATCCCTTAAGTCATTCTACTAAAGAAAGCATCATATATGTTTTTTTTTCTGGTTGAAACCACACTGGGTGGGGGTGCCGGGGAACACCTCCCTATTTTATTGAAATAAAGTTGTGAGTACAAGAAATTGAAATCACATATGATCGAACAAAAGAAAATGAAAGGAAATAGAAAAATACATGACAATTGAAATTTTGTGAGCGGATTCCAATTCAAGCTGAAAGTGATCTAATGTGTTTGTTATGAAACTTGATGGCCCTCTTGAAATAAGGTATGTATGTTGTTTCCTTCAGATGAGTCAATTTGAAGTGTTGAAGAGCTGTTCCTAGTTTTTGTGGTGAGTCGAACCTCTCGTCAACTAGGTAGAGATAGTAGTCTGTTTCGTTTTGAGGTTTTGTTGAATGGCTCCTGGTGATCATGGGGTGAGATGAATATCCCACCTGGTAGAATAGTTGTACATCTTTTGTTTCTTCATTAGGTCAAATTTTTGTGTTTTTACTTCTTCTTCTTTGTACGTGAGTAAATCCTTCGAGGTGTTCCTCTTCGAGAGGAGGGAAGTCTCTATGACCTGAAACAGAAAGAGTAACATTATGACTGTCCTCAGAAAGGAGGGTTTCATCATTGGACAGTTCAGGAGCAAGAAGTGTAGTAACTGGTTTATTAAGTGAAGGATCAGAGATTCCCTCATCATTTCTTGGTTGGGCCTCATGGGAATCATTATCAGCATAGCACGTAACCAAATGACGAAACAAACCCTCGATTACCGCCTCATTTTGGGTAGCCACCGGGGGTTCATCATTATCAAAAGCTTCCTTGTTGTGTACAGTATGGTCATCAGTAGCATGGTATATGTATTTGGTGAAGCTATACCTTCACGGAAGAGGTTTTGGTCTAGTCTCTGTTAGTACCCAATTTTGATAGATTTTGATGATGCCACTATACTATACTCCTGTATGTTTAGTATTCCAATCTTTAGTAACTATATCCAAAGGTGATTTAAGCAGTCACCTCGGCAGCAGTCTACAGATCACCCTACTGCTAAGTTCACTGCCCTTCTACACATCTTCTGTGAAACATCTCCATATCACTAAAGCCTTATAAAGTCGTCAAAAATATCCCATATCAATCAGAATTCAAAAAATCATCTCTTTACTCCGCAGTAGCCTCTACAGTCCTCTGGTGACTACTCTACTACCCAGTCCACTGCTCACGTAACTGCCAAGGCAACTGCCTTCCTAGATAAGTTTAAATCTCACCCAAATACTCTATTTGACTCACTTAGATATCATGAGACTTATGTGACTGTCCTTCAAATTCTTTGGTCACTTACTATAAATATAGAGTTGTCATACACCGATTATATAGAGGTTAAGACTTCTGTTGTACATCTATAATCTCCCAAAAGGTTGTAGACCCTCTCATCTAGTAGGGAAAAGTTTTTAAAGTTGAAAAAGCTTTAAATGTCTATTCATCCCCCCCCCCTCTAGACCATTACCTCTATTCGGGATCATCAGGTGGTATCAGAGCGGTGTTTTCCTAGAGTCAATTCTTGACTAGTTTTGAACTAAAGATCCAAGCCCACTCTACTTCCCAAAACTTTCAAAAAATGGACAATCATCTTTCCAAGAATCTCTTGTTCAAATTAGAATGAAAGCACATCTCAATGCTCTACATGATGAAATGTTAGAAGTGATTACAAATGGACCTATCAAAATAATGAAGGTCCTCACATCCAGAACAGTAGAGGCAGGAGATGATGTGTACATTCCAAAACCAAAATTGGAATGGACAACTGAAGACAGGAAAAGAAACAACCTTGACAACGTTGCCAGAGATATTCTATTCAAATCTGTAGATGAATCCATATTTCCTAGAATAAGGAAATGTGAGACTGCTAAGGATGTCTGGGATGAACTA